CAGGCCACATTTGCTCGGAGCTTTACCCCTGTTTCAACCCCCCAGACAAAGTTACTGCAGATTTTTTCCACCTCTTTGATAACAGCTTTTGGAATAAGAAAGAGAGACATCCAAAATTGTGTCAAGCTGTAAAGGAACGATCCAACCAGTTCAATACGCCCTGCATAGGTGAGAGATTTAGCCTGCCAACTTCTAACTCTAGCACCAAGTTTATCAATCAAAGGTTTACAGGCTGCAAGACTCAACTTCCCTGATATAAGATGCACTCCCAAATAACGAACAGGGAAGGCCCCCAGTTGATACCCAAATCTATCAGCTCTGATTTTACGTTCATCTCTATCAATCCCCCCAAAATATATCTCACATTTGCTTGGGTTTGATTTAAGACCAGAAATCAGCTTAAACTGGGACAACACATTCTGTAATGCATGAATACCAGAGTTAGAAGCATCCGAAAAGACTAGCAAATCATCAGCAAAACAGAGGTGAGTTAGGGCCACCCCTTTACACATAGGGTGATAAGGAAAACTCCTCTCAACAGCAGACTTATCAATCAGACATGAGAATACCTCCATTGCTATAACAAAGAGGTAAGGAGATAATGGATCTCCCTGCCTGAACCCTTTCTTAGATTGAAAATATCCCACTAAGCCCCCATTAAAACAAACACTGAGCATAGGAGTTCCCACACACATCTGAATCCAATTCACAAACCTCTCAGGGACATTCATACACCTCAGAACTTGAAAAATTAATCTCCAGTCAACCGAATCAAATGCCTTCATCAAGTCTATCTTAATAGCACATCTAGGGGATATGTTCTGATGAGAGTACTTGCTAACTAACTCATGAGCTAACAATATATTCTCTCTTATTAGCCTACCCTTGACAAATGCTGTTTGGTTTTTGCTAATCAAGGAAGGGAGAAGGGGACTGAGTCTATTTGCAATAAGCTTGGATATGCATTTATACAGTATATTGCAACATGAAATTGGCCTAAAGCTTTTCATCTCATATGGATTTGCAACTTTAGGAATCAGAGCTAAGATAGTTGAATTAATAGGCCTAGGAACTCTATCCTGCTCAAAACAAAACTTGATAGCTGAACATACCTCTGGACCAATCAGAGGCCAGGCATATTGGAAGAAAGCTGCTGAGAAACCATCTGGTCCTGGACTCTTATCACCATCCATTGCAAAGATCACTTCTTTTATCTGCTCATCTGTGAAAGAGTCACATAGTCCATCATTCTGCTCCTCGGATAGTTTCCTTCTCAACAATCCTTTATAGTATTCATCAGAATAAGTCACAACCTCTAGATCCTCAACTCCTAACAATTTCTCATAAAACCTTACTGCAATCTTAGCCATTTCTTCAACTTCAGTGACTTTTTCCCCTGCTCGATGAAAAAAGCTAAGTTCATATCTCCTGTTTTAAGCCAAATTCTCACGGGACTTCTGTTGTAAAAAGTTTCCTCAGCATCCATCGGAATCTTCAATTCCAATCCCAGTCTTCTTTCTTATTCAAACAATGCCATGGTTGGATCATTTAGAGCCTGCTGCTGAATGTCATTAACCTCTCTTTCCTTCTCCTTTACTCTTTCAGACAAATCCAAGAATTCTTCTCTATTCAGCTTCCTTAACAGATTCTTTAAATTCTTCAATTTCAGACTCACCCTAATCAATGGATGTCTAGTAACCAATGTTGTTAAAACCGAACCGGAGTATGAACCGATGTGGAGAGCGGTTCGCACTTTAATGGTCTAACCGCTAATGGATCGTTACAAAACCGTTAATAAACCGGTGCCTCATTAACAAAAATATTATAAGTAGACACATAATAACACACTAAACCATAAATCTAAAATAGGATACATTACTTTTTAAATATATATATAAGTAATAAAGTTCTAAAGTCCAAACTCTAAATATTAATTCTAATATTATTCCTATCAAATTATTATATAGCTATATATATGGTTAATAGAAATCAATTATTTGTTAAATTGGAAATTATTTATTGATACTAGAAGTGGTTTTCTGGAAATGGAAATTATTAAATGATAAAAGTTAATGGGGATATTTTACACTATATAATTAATAGTGGAGTTTACTAGCATCAAATTTGGCCTAATTGAGTTGGTAAGCGAGTTGTTGTGATAAAGCGCTGGACCTATGTTCAATACCCATGGCCTGCTGTTTTTACAAAAACGACCAGTAAGAACAACCGGCCAGATTAATCATCCGGACTGAGCTGGTGGCCGGGTGCCGGTTATACCGGTCGAACCGACCGGCTCGGTCCGGCTTTAACAACACTGCTAGTAACATTACTCCTCCAAGCCTCTTGCAGTAACTCATCAAACTTTGGATGCTGAATCCAAAACTTAAAAAATTTAAATGGCGTTGGAATCGATTTCAATTCAGCCTCAGTGTCGACATACATGGGACAGTGATCTGACACCCCTGGAGCTTGTAAGTGAACCTTACTGTCCTTAATTGAATCCAACCATAGGAAGTTAACGAAAACTCTATCCAACCGCTTTGCAATAGGATTTGCTGTCTGTTTGTTTAGCCAGGTAAACCAAGGCCCAGTGGCTTGATGCTCCTCCAACTCTAGGTCAGTAATCCATTGATCAAAGCAAAGCATCGATGCATCAACTCCGGGGGAATTTGAAGCTTCAGAAGGGTTCCTAACATCATTAAAATCTCCCATCACTATCCATGGAGCAGCAGTGATTCTAATCCTTCTTAGGTCATCATACAGAACCTGTCTAAGAGTGTCATCATTTGCTGCATACACTACTGTTCCAAAGAAAGGCTTGGCACCTCCCACCATAAAATGAATAAACTGATCAGAGGAATGCAAAACTGTAAGTGAGATATCTTTCCTCCAAACCAACCATATTTTACCCAAACCAGCTTCATTATGTTTTATCTTAGTCTCCCAGTCTGGAAATCGCTTCTTAACCAACTCATCTGTCTCACTCATCTGTCTCAGAGGCTCTTATTCTAGGTTCAAGAACAACTACTATATCTATATTGTATTTATTTACCTTCTTAATCAAAGCTATATATTTACTATCTGCCTTAAACCCCCTAGTGTTCCAGGTGATAATTCTCATTTCCTTCCTCTACCTCTACCACCCTTACCTCCTTTTCTCGGTTGATAGGGAATCAACGGAGAATCAATCCAAACCCTCTTTCCTACATCTGGAGGCTTAATGTTTTCTTTGTTTTTGGATACTCCCCTCTGAGCCTGCTGGAGCTGCAAGTTCCCAAAAACTGGCGACTCATCAGCCTCAGCAGCTTGCTCAGTAGTAGAAGGACTTCCTCCCGAAGGAGATGATCCCCTAACTACTTGAGCAAAACTCAGGAGAGGGCTCCCAATTGCTGCAGGAGCTTGAGTGTTAGCAACCTCAACTTGCAAAACCACAGTAGAATCCACCGTCAATCCATTATCAGACAACACCTGAGTAGTCAACTCTTCCACCAGCTCTTCTTCTTGCCCAACCTCTTCAATAGTTTCAACAGACTCCCTCCTTTCAGAAGCAGTATCACTCTTCTCAGCCAACCCAGTATCCATATCTGATGAATTTAGTTCTTCCTTTGAGATCCACCCTCTTCTTCTCTCGCCATTCTCTAGCAGGCTCCTGAGGACAAGTATGACCAAACAAGCAACATTTCGAGCAAACTCACGGAAGTTGTAAGTACTCCACCCCAATCTCAAAATCAGGGTCATCATCCGGATAGAGCCTAATCCGTCGTGGAAATTCGAAATCAGCGGCCAACTCAATACAAACCTTCGAGAATCCCAACTGGTCACCAACCCTAGTTTTCTGATCGGTCCAAAGAGGTATGCCCATAGTACTTGCAACCCACTCAATTCCATCTTGTCCCATATACTCCAAAGGTAATCCCGAGATCTTAACCCAAATAGGCAAGGTTTCTACCTTTGGCTCAATAGGCTGAAGACCCACCTCCCATTTACTAAAGAAAACTGGATTCCCCCCCAGATGCTAAGGACCCGATGTAAAAACCCAGTCACAAGAAGAAAGCGATGGGAATTGAAATACCAACATCTTTTGACCAAATCGCGAAATACATACCAATCCATCCCTCCCCCAGAGTCGGTTAGCCCACGACTGCAGCTCCGCGACCTTAGGACGCTTCCCGACGAATTGCCCAATCAAAGACATCTTCCATCGCTCAGCGCCCTTCTCCTTCACAGCCTGCAGAATTCGAAACCCGTCTTTGACCCTCTCATGTGGACGATAGGTAAGTCGCCTTTCCGCAGCCACCGAGAAGAGATTTACTCAAGATGAAGACGAAGAACCCTCGCCAGCCGGCGAAGAAGCCGACGGCGAGGAAGCCATCGCGGTGGTTTCCACAGAGCACGAAAAGGAGAGAGAAAGAAGAGAGAGAAGGTAGGATTGTTTTGATGGGAGAATATTTCTATTAAAAATAGCCGTTTTTTTTCTATTAAAATAGCCGTTATTATTTTGGAGAACTATACATTTTGTGTGATTGCAAAATGATTTAATTTGAAGTCATTATAATTTGCAAAGAAATTTTTGTTTTCGTAGTTGGTTTTATAGAAAATAAGATAATGAAAATATTAAATGTAGGGTAAAATGGCTGCATTAGACAAATAACTCATTTAAAAACGTATCATCTGAATTTTTTTAAACAAATAATATATTTGAAAATACCTACAATATATACATGATCAAATATCTATGTATCTCAAATGATTATGTTTGTACAAATCACTCATTTTAAATCCACAAGCAAACCATAAATCTTCTTAAAAAATTGATGAATATAGGGTTAGAGGAGGATTAGAATGTGATTCTCTAACAATTTAAACCACAAAATACTAAAAAGTAAAAACAAATGTTTTCCCATAAATTAGCTACTTGCACATCTAAAATTAGGACGAGAAAACTTGTTTCTTAAAGTTGAAATTTATAATTAACAAATTTTCTTTTCTTTCTTGTGTAGAAAAACTAGTTTTCTTCTAGTTGACAACTTGGGATCAAATTCCTTCTCTTGTCTTGTCTCTCTCTCTCTCCTCAGTTTCTTTGTTTGTCTCTCTCTAGCAAAAAGGAGCCAACTTTTTCTCATCAAATCAGATTCAAATTTCGCCGAGAAGAGACGAAATCACGAACCAACAGTTGCTTGCAATAATTAAATTAATAAACAATCAAATTAAGATTTCTGACGACTTTCAGGCGCATGCTTGAGAGAGAGACGAACAGAGAAACAGAGGGAGAGAGAGATCGAGAGAAACGGAATCACAGCACCTTTACCTTCGTTTCGTTGTCGTAGTAGCTTGCATCTGTTGATTTGCATTGAAGGCGGTTAATTGTTCTCTTTCTCGTTTGTGAGAAATCCGAGCATCTTGAGGATTTGATAGAGAGACACGGCGACCCTCCTCTGTCCCCTGTCCCTTTCTTCTTCTTCTTCTTCTTCCCACCTCGCTCTTTAATGCGAGTCTCTCTATTTATTCCGATCCCCATTTGCCCTCAAAATCAAACTCCATAACGAAATCCCAGTTCATTTCTTATGCAATTTTGAGCTGCACGAGCCTTTTCCAAGGGAAAGTTTTCATCTTTCCCCCCTGATTTTTAATGGGTATGCTCAAGGCTGCTTTGTTCTCGAATTTTCTTTGATTGGTTGTTTTCATTATAACGTGGCATGGTTCAATTCCTCCCTTTGATATGAAACAATTTCTTCTTGCCTTTGAATTTGTCTTGTTTTGATGCTTGCTGGGTATGGATCATGTGAACTATCATCATCAAGTTTGCCTTTCCTGCCTTTTGAGTTTTGGGGTTTTTGCTCAAACTCTTCCTATATATATATTTTTTTTTTTCCAGAACCGAGTTTTGATTGTTTGTGCCTGATATGTAGATGGACGTTGAAGAAGAAGAAGACCATAAAGAAAGTGCATGACTTTTGAACTTTATGATGATCCTCCCTCAGCTTGATACTTCAACTAAGGGATCGAATTCGGCATGGGGGATAGAGATAGGAAGGATATAAGGCCCCTTTTGCTGAGATTTGGTGTAGTTGTATCGGTTTCCTTTGCTGGATTCCTAGCCTCTCGCGTGGCAGCCAACAGAATCCATATGGCCAAGCAGCAGCAGCAGCAGCAGCCTCCTCGTTCCCCGAGATCTCCAGGTTCGCATCGATCATTTCGTATTGCCAATGGATTGGTTTTGTTTTGATTTGGTGCTGTTTGTGTAATTTCTATATACAAAAATGATCAAGATGTTTTTTCTTAAATATTGGTGGCTTAGATAATGAGAGTAGTAGTAAAGCTGATGTTGGAGTAAGCAAGGCCTTTTGCGATGATGACATTCCTTCTGTGAAAAGAAGTCCTGGTTCTGGTTGCATGGGATTGGATGGACAAGTAAGTTTTGATCATAAGCAGATTGGAAGATGGCCACTTGTTTTCAAATTTAATGCGTAACCTGTTTGTTTATCTGGTGTTCTATCTGGCAGAATGTTGTTTGCAGGGTGAAGGCTGCCGGTGAAACTTCCACGGGCAACTTTTCACCAAGCTGCAAGCTGAGTGGAGATAAAGATGGCTACCTATTGCCAGAATTCAATGATCTAATAAACGATTTCGGTGTTCCTAAGCAACTTAGAAGTGCTGAGGAGGATGAGAAAGAGATTAGGCATTTAAAGAACAAGGTGAAAACGTTGGAGGAGAGGGAGAGGAAGCTCGAGGCCCAACTGGTAGAGTTGTATGGCCTCAAAGAGCATGAAACTGCTGTCACTGAGCTGCAGAACCGAGTCAAGATAAACAACATGGAGACCAAGCTTCTCACCCTCAAGATGGAGTCTTTACAAGCCGAAAACCAGAAGCTTGTGGCTCAAGCTTCAGAACATACAAAAATTGCTTCTGAGCTGGATGCTGCGAGGGCCAAGATCAAGTTGCTGAAAAAGAAGTTGAGGTCTGAAACTGAACAGAACAAGGAACAGATCTTGGCACTTAAGAAGAAGGTTTCCAAGCTGCAAGAACAAGAAATCGGTGCTGCTTCCAGCGATTCAGAGCAGCGGCTGAAGGATTTGGAGGTACAGACAGAAGAGTTGACGAAGTCTAACATGAAACTGAAGCAAGAGAACTCAGATTTGGCTCATCGATTGGAAGCCACTCAAGTGCTTGCAAATTCTGTTCTTGAAGATCCAGCGGTACTTACTTGTTTGGCTGTTGTTTTACCTTGATTCAATTAACATAAATTGTCACTGGACTTTACTGCTACTAACAAATTTGGTTGATTTCTAACAAAGTTGTCTCGGCTGTCTGGAAATTCTTAATCAACATAGTTAAGGGACTCGTCAGAGTGTCAATTCGCCCAAAATTATAACAAAAGCAGGCCTTAGATGCCCTCTAATTAGCCATATAGTAGGGAGGGATGAAAAGGTTAAGAGTTATTTTTTGGACTTGTGGGTTAGAACTGGATCAAGTAACAGGTTTGGTTTAGGAATACGAGTTAAAATGGATTGTCTAGGTCAGCTAATTAGGATCTATGTTTTTCTATAGTTTATTTGGTTGAGTCAGCATGCTAATCTGGACAATCAAGAAAAAAAAAACTGACAGAGATGTATCAACTTGTCAATGATCCGAAAGTTGAGTGGCCATTCACCAAACTGACCTTTTTTGTTTGACTGCTGCTCTTTCTTTGTATGAAACTGGGCATCTTTTGTGTCTATATAGATGGAGGAGCTGAGGCAATTGAGCAACCGGCTAAGCGAGGAGAACATTCATCTGAAAAAAGAGGTGGAGCGACTCAAAGCCGATCGATGCTCAGACGTCGAAGAGCTTGTCTATCTCAGGTGGATCAATGCCTGCTTGAGGTATGAGCTGCGGAATTTTCAGGCGCCGAATGGGAAAACAGCTGCACGAGACCTGAGCAAATCACTGAGCCCCGAGTCCGAGGAGAAAGCAAAAAAGCTGATACTTCAGTATGCGAATCCTGAAGGAATGGGGGAGAAAGGAATGAGAATGGTAGATTTCGAGACAGATCAATGGATTTCCTCCCAAGCATCATACATCACAGATTCCACACACTTTGATGACACTTCCTCAGTATCAACAAAGGCCACCAGCATCAGCAACCATAGCCCCAGAAAGCTCAAGATCTTCAAGAAGCTCAGGAGGTTAATACGTGGGAAAGATGCTCACAGCAAAGATGAGCACAGGATGGAAGATTCTGATTATCCTAGCAGTGTGTCAACTGGGACTGATGCAGGAAGTGACACACAGTCCAATAGAGGTCTGACACCATTGATTTCATATCGGTACTCTACTGATAGTCAAAGAATGAGCATTCCTGGGTTGTATGATGCTAAGGATGTGGAGAGTCTTCGTGCAACGAGCGATCTGGGGTCCACCGATTTGCTCAGGAGGTTTTCATCAGGCCCAGAAACAAGTAGAGACTTTTTACCTGAGAATGATGACCTGGGGAAATCTGACTTGGTTAGGTTTGCTGGAGTGTTGAAAGATTCCAATGGTAATAATGTAACGGAGCTACAACATAGAAAAGGGAAAAGCAGTATCTTTTAGCTGATACATATCTAAAGAATAATCTCTGTTCTAAATGCATTACCTAGATGCATGCTGTATACAGTATACTACTTGTTTTGTAGTTGTGAAATGAAACGGGGAAGTGAAAAAGTTGTGAGCTATGACTACTGAGTTCTTTCTCTGCATACTTCAATTCTCTTAAAGCTCCATCAAGAGTGGTATATATATATATACACTGTGGAACAACGGTTATACTCACAACCCACTTGGAACTCAACAACTAATCTTAATATTAATCCTCGGCATCTAAATCAATGGGGCAAGTTCCATCATCTACATTGGCTAGAGGATTGTAAAGATGTGAACTAGGATCCATGCACCCTTCAACTAGATCAAGATTGCATCGATCACCCTGCAAATTTCACAGCACAATGTAACAGAATTAGCAGCCTGTCTTTTTCATTTTGACACTTGAGCATCAAGAAAGGGTTTACAAGGACTTGGAAATGAATGCTTTTCACTTACTCCTTCGATCGACAAGTTACCAATCATTGCACATCTCGTGGAAACAACCTCAGTGTCCGGGAATATTGCTCTTTCACAGGCACCTTCTTGACTTAACTCTTGTGCTAGACCCTGTCATGAAAAAGTTATAGATTCAACAAATACCAAAATTTTCATCCTTGATTTGTACAAAAAAAAAAAAAAAAAAACAAGTAAAAGCTGTGGATTCTTCTTCGTTCTGGTTACCTCGTTGAAGAACTCGATTTGTTTGTTTCGCCAAGCCTTTGGAACTTGGAATTGCAGTCTGTAAGGGCCATCCCAGTCAACTCCATTTGTGAATGAGAATATCAAGTTCACAGCTGCAGTTAACACTGAGAGTGAGCCAGTGGATGTACAAGAAAGATAAAGGTAAGAGATCAACAAAATTAGGTAGGGTTTGACCAACCATGCTTAGGAACACATATTTGGATGGAATATAATGGGGCATCAGCTTTTCCTCTAACTTTCTCAAGCATTGCCCTTGGCTCTCCACCACACATGATAGGTTGGTTAAACCCACCTGGAAAATGGTGCATTTCAGAAAACTTTCAACAGCATCAACACATTAAGCATCCTAGTTTGTGTGAAACAAAAAAGAAGAAGAGAAAATCACCATTGAAAGCAATCCCAAATTCTTCACTTGGAGTGAGTTTCTTAGCTGCCGGATTGTAGAAAAGCTTCAGCATCTCTCCCTGAACGAGAACACAAGTACAGCATTAGGAGCTGACCATCAAAAGGAACGTGTGAATGCAGCAAAAGGTTTATCATTTGTTAACTTCCACACTCACAGAAGATGGAGGAAGACCATTCATGGTTTTCCAATAAACCGGTGCTCTTCCCATCTCAAACATTGCCCATGTAGGAAGTGCATATCTGAACCAAAGGTATAACAGTGGACATTAACTATGGGATATTGATGTAGTTATGCTGCAATTAATTGAAAAGTTAGTGATTAAACCACTATCAATCATCATGGAAGTACCAAAAGAATGATTCATACTCTTTAACTTCCTGAGCCACTGGTGTCGTGGCAATAGTGGCTGCTGATGCAGTGACTTTCCCTGAAGTTCTCAATGTTGTGCTCTTAATTGGTGAACTTAATGGTACTGAAGCACCAATGAAGCCACTGACTGCGTAATAACCACATAATTAATTCAGCCATGCTGAAAGCCTATGAATCAGATTGAGATCGAAACTAATGCAAAAACCCAGTTAAGGGCGCAGTTGAAGGATCATGAACAAGAAACATCAATCTATAGGGAGCTAGAAATGAGCTGTTTTTGCACAACCCATTTCAGTTTAGTGCTAAGTATTATGAATAAGAAACAAGCTTTGCTGCACAAAGAACCAATTCATCTTAATAATTCAGAAACTCTTTCCCCCAGGCATACCTAGATTGTTTGAGATGGATGGATTAAGCCTCCTGGAGGTAATAGATTGAGGTGGAGATGAAACAATAGCGGCCATTCTTCCTCGAGTAGGCTTAACTCAGGGACTGGACGAAAATGTGGAGTTGTTCTGCTAGATATGAATACTAAAGCGAAGACTGCAGAAGAAGTATATAAGAGGTGGACAACAGGAATGGGAAGCAACCTCAATCACAAAAAAACTCAACCAAAAAAATATCTTTCTAATCCCTTCATTTTAGCCATATCCAGTTGGGAAGAAGACAAAACAAAAAAAACGATCCAAGCCGTTGCTTAGAAAAATCTCTCTGCTGCCTTGGGACAATGTAACCATGTTTTCCTTCTTTCTTCTTTGAAATATCGGCAAACCAACCCCCTAAGCTTCTCATTATAGCGTTTGAAAGTGGCAGCAAATTAAGCTGCTAGGAATTGAAACGAGACAAATGAAGGAAGGGAGAAAGGAAGGTCACTTGGTATTGAAATTGCTTATGGTAAAAAGTATACAACATTTGAACTGTTACAATGAAACGGAAGCTTACAACTGTTGCAGACAAAACATAAGAATGCAAATGTAGCAGTAGCCAACAACACTCTTCTTAAACAGTAAACACATTACTTTGTTTCCAATATGCCACAGAACAAGAACAAGAACAAGAAGGAAACAAAGCAATTATAATGAACAAATACGAATATCATCCATTGATTCATCCTAAGAGGGAGATCCCATCAACGATGAGAGCATCAGCCAGGACTTGATTAGCAGCCTGCGAAGGATGGACACTATCCCAGAAAACATACTGAGTCGCATTCGGACACGTCCCCACCGACTTCGGGTTGCACAAAAGCACCGTCGTTTCAATCGTCCCTGTTCCGCAGCATCCTCTTCTCGCTTCAGTAAAACCTGCATGTTAATCAGTTCCCAACAGGGATATTAGAAACTGACCCAGTTCACAAAATTTCACCATGGACAAAGGGTAAGTTTCTGTTTCCCATTTGGTTACCGAAATCAGAAGGCTTTTTCACGAGGTCGTATAGTGGCTTGAAGATGTCGAAAACGACGATCTTCATCCCTGGCAGCTGCTTCTGCAGATTCGCCACCGCCGAGCCGATCTTCTTGTTGAACTGCTGAGCGTCCGTGTTGAATTGCGAGACGCAGCCGCTCTCATGGTACCCAAATATGGTTCTGGCTGCTGGCAGGCACCCCAGTGGCGGGAGTGACGTCAGCCCTAGCCTTCTCCCTCCCAGGCCATACAATCCCTGCGTCGTGTTAGAACGAAATTAGACAAGGTAGGAGTGGTAAAAATTCATAACAATCAAGGAAAGGAAAGGAAATTTAGTTACCTTGACAAAAGTGTTGAATGAGCTGACCAGGTAAGAACCATACTGGTCAGCAGTGTAGACTTTGTTGAGCAGCGGGTTGACGTAGTAGTTCTGCAGGAAATCACTGCTGCCTGCACTCAGTACGTACAGCGAGTCCTTGATGATTGTAGCTGACTTGTTGGCTCCTGCAACTTTGGCTAGCTTGCCCTTGTACTCCTTGAACAGCTCCAGCTGCTGAGACAGAGTAATTGCATGCTGCAACCCACCACAGAGAAAAGAGAAACCACAAACTTACATTAAGCAGAAATGCAGTAAAAAGAGTAATTTGATGGTCTCTGTGTGATCCAGAAGTTTACATTAAGAGCAGCAGCTTTGTCATCAAAACCGGAACCAGCAGAGGCGAAGTTGGCTCCAATTAGAAGGTTGTTCCCCATTGCATCAGGGCTCAGATATGCTGGTGGGTAAGTCTTGAATCCCAGAGTGTCAGCTGTCAATGAGATGAAAAAAATTTATCAAATTGAGGGGTTAAAACTTGGCAGCAGTGTGCATGAATCTAGTAAAGGAGATGCATATACCAGTGATATCAGTGGCCAATTTGCCATTGCAGAACCTGCCAGTAGGCTGGTGGTTGACGAAGTCTCTGCCATAAGGAGGGTAATTTGCCTTGAAGATTGTGGGGAGGTAGTCATTGTTGCCGACATCAACGGCTGAGTCCCCAAATGTCATGATCCCGGGAACAAGTTTATCATCCTGTGCATGTGAAAGAAGCAATGCTGAAGCTGCAATAAGAAGAAGATGAAGTAGAGACATGGTTGTGAAAGAGGTTCCCATTGTCTCTATTTCCCCCCCTGGTTTTGTTCTGATTTGTGGGGAGGAAGGTAAGGATTGTTGTAGTGAGAAGAAGGTGTAGGGAGTTAGTTGCCTTGGAGTACAACTTATAAAGAGGGCATGACGGTGACTCAAAATAGAGAAATGAAGGAGGAAATATGAGGTCAATTACATAAACGGAATTTGATGTGATCTTAGGTAATTTGATGTGATCGAGTTGGAATTAGGTTGAGTGATGACTTTCGTTTGGATTGTTTGATCTCGATTCTAGCATCAATTTTAGATGAGTTCCAATTAGCTAATTTGGATGAATAAAATACACGATGGAAGCATACAAATAAATTTGATCGGTTTTTAGTTATTCGAAATGATAATGAGAGATTTGTTAAAATTCAAAGTAGAGTGACCAATATGTTAGAGACCCCAAATATGGGGGGCGATCGGGGAATTGGCCTGCGGAAAAACAGAGATAACAATGATGGAAGTGAGAGTGTTGATGAAAGGAGGATGGGAGTTGAGAAATGGGTATCATAAATGAGAGTTGTTCAGAGCGCAATTATATTGAGCATTGAAAGCACATAGCACAGCAAAGCTCACTATAAAGATAATTATATTTACAATTTTCGGGTGTACATAATCAACATAAATATATGTACTCCTCTTCCATTCTGTAATGCTCTTCCAAATGTAGAAATGGTACCGAAATTTGGACGGTTCAATCGTTAACGAATTGTTCACTAGCTGTTTATCATACTGAGTTCTCAACAAAGGCTATCCTCCAAACGAATTCACGAGTATTCATGCACATGTTTTCTTATCGCGCGTAGGATAGGATAGGTGATTATACATTCATATTTATGCATCTCCTCTACTTTTACCACCACTTTGTATATTTAGAAAAGATGGGACATACACCTTAGTTATGAATATATATATATTTATATTGACTAATTCGGTGCACTCACAAAAATGAGTGTGCTCAATGCACCCAACTCAAAAACTAGTCTTACGGTGTCGGATTTTGAATATTAATTTATAGAATTAGTGTAATCTGATGATATAACAGATGATAACAACTAATTAGTGGATTACCCTAAGCCCTAGACCGCCAATTTTGAGTTATATCCCTAAACCCCAAATTATAAACCCTAACCCTAAATCTATAAACTCTAAATCCTTCAAATTAAAGTAAATCTTCAATGGTTTTTGTGCAAATTCATGTGAGTTATTGTTCATCACATCATAAGTGATGAATGCCATCATTTTGACATAAATCGCATGTTTAAAATGACGGTTATGAAGTGAGTGCACTGAATGCACTCAAAAAAGTGAGTGTACCGAAGACGCCACCATATATATATATAAAGTAAATATGATGTTTATTATTTGGCCAGGTAATGCATTAAGAGTGTTGCATTTTTTCACTGGTAATATTATTTTCTTGAATTTTTGTTGTGCTCTTGAAATTATTTTGATCTGGTCTTTGTGGCGTAGACTTCTATGGAAATGGAAGTGTGACGCCATTTATATAGCAAGTTGACGATGTAATTAATTAGGAGTGTATACGTCCTTGTCACGGTGGCAGTAAGCCGCGGCAAGTGTTACTGGTAATCGTGATACGCTGAATTTACTTTACTTTGTGCATGCCATCAATCATAGTCCACGATCTGTGTTATATTTGCATGATCTTTGCTTAACCGTCTAGATACATATTACGAAATCTATCATAACGAAATCAAGTATTGATGATCATCTAATCCCTATTGAATCGAAACTAATGATACTTAGTATATAGTTAGGTTCTAAGTCATTATGCATGTGCAACTTTCTATATGTAATGACCTTTGAAATTGGACAGCGACTATACCATATTTAATTTGGTAATAACAAAGCCTACTAATGAAGTATAAATGAAGTTTTCGCTTGAGGTCGTGTGAATAATGGTCAAACTAATTTAACTACTTTAATTCATAAGTAATGAATGTGACTTGTGCAGTGATTGGTTAGGGGTAATTGAAAGTTAATATGCATAGTACATCTCATGAAGGAACGAGAACACATAGTTATTCTATGTGACCATGCCCATGTACATATTAATTTGATCCCTAGCTATGGGGTAGTGATTTAAGTTGATTAGTAATTAACCATTACTTGGAAAGTCAGTGACCAACCCCTTAGATTGCAATAACTAAAATAGTTTTTGTTACTATGGGTGCAAGTTTGGTATCAGTATTTGGGATATACAAATTACCATAGTGAATTTATCATTATCTTTTATTTTCGATTACTGAGTTATTTTTTTGGGTTGGTAATTGAGATTAATTTTTAGTATTATTCGAGATTTGAGATATGTGTTTGGAATTGATAAATACCAAGATATCGAGCAATACCACAAATTTAAACATGATACAGTGAATATCCCCTTAACAGAGTGATCCTCAACCCCATCTCAAATAAGCAAATGTCATGGTTCCTCCTTAACTAAAATTTATAATTATCTGCGATGGTAAGAAATGACCAATTCTTATTGACTTGTGTTTATGCTCGTGATAAAATATTTTCAAAGAATGAATTTCTTAGTTGTATTGATATATGGTTATAGTGAACTTAAATTAAAACTTAGAGAATTATGAGCAATTTAATAATATTGAAGTATGAGTTTATTCCATTGTACATAAGACTACACTATTTATATACACAGATAGAAAGTTTCCGATATTTAATGTAGAATCCAAACCACCTTATTATTGTTTGTAATATGATGTTCAAATCATTTATCTAAACTAAAACCCTCAAATAAAAAAAATTCAGTTCCCCCAATATGTACTTATCCTTCCTTCATAGTTTCAAATGAATATCTTCAAAATTATGAGTATTGAAGATATTGTAAAGTCTAATTTGTTTATATGGTTGAAATGTTCACTACCTTCTGTTGGAAATGAATGAATAGCTTTGAAAGCTATAGAGTTTCAAGTGGAAAAACTACCACATTGGTAGTTTTACTTGGTGAAATGT